AGCATGGCAGCCAAGCAGCGATGCACACCGGGCACTGGCGCTGTGGTGGAGCGCCCCTGGGCTCTGGGCAGCTTCCGGGCACTCTCTCTGGTCCTGCATGGAGCACAGCTTGGCTGGGCTGGAGGACGTGGTCCTGAGGCATCTCTGTGCGGTGAGAGAAGGGAGCGCAGCTCAGGGACAAATTGGAGGCCTCGTGGTTTCATCTGGTCCTGCCCCCTGAATGAGGGGCAGGAGTTTGGGGCATGTGGCAGTCGAGGCTTAACAGCGGGCCAGGCGAAAGCCAGCGACGGCACCCGCATGGCAGCCTTTGAGCTCTGAACTGCCACCATCCATGTCTTTCAGGCTGCCACTGTGCTGTCCATGGGCCGTGGGTCCCTGCCTGCCCACTGGCGCTATCTGAGGTGGGGTGGAAACTGTGTCTGTGCAAGGGATTTGCACACCTGGCTACACGCCTTGTGCTCACCGTGTTCCCGTTCACAGCTGTGAGGCCCGGTGATCCCTGCTGCAGGATCCAGGCATGTTACCCACTCTGCAATGCCACGGAGCAGCTGTGCCACTGATCGGCAACCGGTGAGGGTGAGCCGGGGCCGCACAGAGCAGGAGAGGGAGCTGCCTTCTTGGAGTCATTGTGAATTGTTCTCTGAAAACATCAGTGTGTAGCTGCAGTCAAAAAAAAAAAAGAATGTTAAGAACGGGGTAGAGAATAAGACAGAGAAAATCTTACTGCCTCTCTATACATCCATGGTATGCCTGCATCGTGAATCCTGCGTATCGATGTGGTCACTTCATCTCAGCAAAGATCTCTTGGCATTGGAAAAAGTTCAGAAAAGGGCAACAAAAATGATGAGGGGCTTGGAATAGCTGTCGTATGAGGAGAGATTAAAAAGACGGGGACTTTTCAGCTTAGAAAAGAGGAGATTAAGGGGGGCTGTGATAGAGGTGCATAAAATCAAGACTGGTGTGGAAAAAAGTGAATAAAGGAAAATTATTTGCTCCTTCCCATAACACAAGAACAAGGGGAGGGGGTCACCAAATGAAATGAATAGGTAGCAGGTTTAAAACAAACAAAAAAAGTGTTTCTTCACACAAGGCACAGATAACCAGCGGAACTCCCTGCCAGAGGTGCCCTTGGCCCCTGGCCTGGTGGGCCCATAAAGGTGCATTTGGGAGTGCACCTCCCCTGTGCCACTGCCAAAATTGTAACTGCTAAATGGGGTGCCCCCTGTTTCTCTGGGTGGCCCTCTCCCTGCGTCCCCTCTCTCCCACCAAGCACCTATAGAATCATAGAACACTAGAACTAGAAGGGACCTTGAGAGATCATCAAGTCCAGTCCCCTGCCCTCTTCATAGGACCAAGCACCGTCTAGATCAGTGTTTCTCAAACTGTGCTCCACGGAGCCAGGACAACACTTGCTAAAACCAGGGGAGCAGAGGGCGCAGGGCCAGACTTTGCCCAGGGAGGGCGCTCTGAGCCCACAGACCAGCT